TTTGGCTAATACCTCACATTCAGATACAATATGGTCCACTGACTCTTCATATTGCGAACACATTCTGCATTTGCTCTCCACTTGCTGGCCACATATTACTTTCTGGTAGTTTCTGGTGTTTATTGCCTGGTCTTGAGCTGCTACAAGTAGTCCCTCTTTTTCTCCATTCAAATTACTTGACAACCATTTGTTGGTGGTGACTGTGTCTACGTGAGGCTTCTCTAGGATCTTTGGATACTGGCCATGCAATGCTTTGTTTTTCCACTTCTCTTCTTTCATTGACGTCATCTTGGACTTAAACACGTGTTTAAGGGCTTTAGTATTTTCAGAGGCAGATTTATCTTCTCTGTTCTCAATCTCTAGCATTGTTACTTCCCTTTTGAATTTAGTAGCATTCTTGGATATTGAATTTTTTGCTTTAGATCTTTCATGGTCAAGCACCTGCTTTGGATATTGCCATTCTTTGTGCTTCAGATAGTAATCAAGCCCTACTGTTGCTGTTTTGAATGCTGTTTCTTCATCAATCAGGCCCCTACCTCCATCTTTTCTTGGGATGTACAGCCTTTCCACATCTGCTTTAGGATGTAACATCTTGTGCATGTTCAATAGTTTGCGTGTTTTTGTGTCAATCTTCTTCAGTTCTGAGATTTTCCAGTCAATGATGCCAAAGCTATATTGCACAACTGGGACTGCAAGACTATTGATAGCTTCTATTTTTTATTATTATTATTATTATTATTATTATTATTATTATTATTATTATTATCCTCATTAAACACAGCTTCTGGATGGCTTGCTGGAGTCTTCCTTAAACATCAAGTCACCACCTGTGACCTTAGGTGTCCAAGACTTTGTTTCTTGGGACTTAAAGCCAAATTTAACAGTGAACTTTATTACGCAGTGGGAGAGACTACCTTCATTTCCTCAGGTTGTTTGTGAGTTATTCAACTGGAACGCTTCTGTCTGTAGACCAGGCCCGAAACACCCCCGAACACCCCCGGAACACCCTCAGAACACCCCGGAACNACATCTTGTGCATGTTCAATAGTTTGCGTGTTTTTGTGTCAATCTTCTTCAGTTCTGAGATTTTCCAGTCAATGATGCCAAAGCTATATTGCACAACTGGGACTGCAAGACTATTGATAGCTTCTATTTTTTATTATTATTATTATTATTATTATTATTATTATTATTATTATTATTATCCTCATTAAACACAGCTTCTGGATGGCTTGCTGGAGTCTTCCTTAAACATCAAGTCACCACCTGTGACCTTAGGTGTCCAAGACTTTGTTTCTTGGGACTTAAAGCCAAATTTAACAGTGAACTTTATTACGCAGTGGGAGAGACTACCTTCATTTCCTCAGGTTGTTTGTGAGTTATTCAACTGGAACGCTTCTGTCTGTAGACCAGGCCCGAAACACCCCCGAACACCCCCGGAACACCCTCAGAACACCCCGGAACACCTCCCTAAAGGCTTAAAGGAACACCTTAAAAGACAAAAATAAGACAACGAAACATCTCAAACTCCCCCCAAAAAGTTTATCCATAAATTAATATGTTTTATCCGCTAGAACTGAAAAAACAACGTAGATTGCACTTTACTAATAGTGCTAATAAATACGGTAAGTTCTCGTTAATACGGACACTGAGGGAGACTTAGCAAATGAAATGTCAGCAGAACAGCAGGAAATCGTTGAAATTAAACAAGATTTCTTGGAGGAAGTCTTTGTAGAAGACCGCAATTCATTAGCCGTGGGCATAGCCTCAAACGGGAATATTGTGGAACATCTACCATCCAAAGCAGATTGTATTATACATGCTACGAAATGTTTAAAAACCGAAATCGCAAACTGGTGCTACGTTAAGATAATCGTGCATATGCTTTTATTCGCCGTGCATTTTTCTTCAAAATAATTTGCAGCCTCAAAAGTTTTGTCAAACAGTGGGAAATGTCGAAGAAACACGTGATCACTAGACTTACCGGCTGTAGATGAAACATACGTTAAAAATTAGACAAAATACCAACATCCGCGCTGCTCTGTAGAATCAAACTTTTTCCAGACAACACGGGCTCGCCAGTATTTAGATGGTTTCAGATTCTATTGTTCATTGTTTCCAAGATCCAAGCCAGTTCACTGAGCAAGAGAAGCAACGTTAGCGCTTGGGGAAAATATGTCATTTTATCGGCTTTAGAGTCTTCCCTTTCATGTTTATTTTTTTTTTTTTTCGTTTTGTTTGTTTGTTTGTTTTTTTCTTTATTTGCAGACGTTCGGTTTTTGGTTTTATCAGAAAAGGCAAACTGCGTTTTCGTGTTTACGTATTTGCTCCTCTTTCCGTTAAGTTCTCTGTTGGTCCCTTCGAGAAAAGGTTCAATCTTTCCCAAGTTTTAAATCATTGACAAGGACCCTTAACTAACTAAAGTAAGATCTCTAAATTTTTGTGAGGTTTTGAGGTTTTCCTCGATTCCGACCGTCAAGATCACGTTGTCTTGTACGAGTTGAGAACTGTTAACATTGTGTTAACTGTAAGTGTAAATTGGTGTCACTCTCGGATAATCGGGTTGAAACTGCTTTCTGTTACAAAAAAAATCGAATGGGAACGCGCGTTTAAACAGTTCTCTGTTTACTAATGATACCTAAAGAAACAACATTAGGTTTCTTGTCCTTTCAAACTTTTTAACATTACAAAACTTACGCAATTTAGATATTTGATATGCTCTGAATATTCTCAGGCACTGATAATTTTAAAGAGAGAAATTCGAAAGGTGGTTATATTTGACACATTTTTGTCTTAACTAAGGACTAGTGTGCCACCAAACTAGTTCATGACTTTTTTTTCTTTTATTGATTGAATAATGTGCCCGTTCTGTGTTATTTTACAGTTGTGTAAGAACGAAACTTTACTTTTAAGCCATAGTATATACTGAGTCAAATAAAAACCTTTAGCTTAGAAATTTCCAAAATAGAGAACAGATTTGCATACCTCTGTCACTGAAACGAGGAAATTTCCTTGTGCTCTTTATCAAAAGTGTTAATTGTGAAGAAAACAAAACCAGTTCTCTACTAGATTTCTCTACTGAAATGCGGGGGAAGCAAATCAAAGTTGATTGATTTTCTTTGGAGTGTTCTTTGTCATTACCCATGATGGAGTATCATGAGCTATTAAAATGGAAAGACCAATGAAAATAATGGGGTCTGGAAGAGGTGCCACCCCACTGCTGGTCTAATAGCAGAATTTTTTCCAAATCAGATTTATAATACAAAGAAAATGTGTATTTTGGAAATTAACACTTAAGATTTTTTGTTTCAAAAAACTTTCTCGTAGATTTCCGTCCAAAACAAATGAATGACACAAGGAAAAATGTCAGCTATTATTGGTCCACAAGAGGTTATTTAAATTTGTTAGAACTGGATCGAATACTGATTTTTTTTTGGTACCTGTATGTTTGTAGTTTTAGTTTGTGTCCATGACTGTTTAGTTTTAAAAAGCGTAACAATCGTCATTTATGCTAAAAGTAAAATTTTTCCAAGTTGTCAAACTAGCTTTCATTAAAACGCCCATTTAAAAATTACCGACTTAAACTTCACTCCAATTTATATGCCTGGTCGATTTTTTTGCTATTTAAGACCCATTCAACTCCTCAAACGCGAGGAAGGAAGGAAAAGAACTTCTCACGCGCCCATGCAAGCTGTCACTAGTGAAGTAAAATCAACGTAAAATTTCCGCCTAACGATGTCTACTTAACTGTGGACAATCGTACTTTCTGCTTAATCTTACTCTGTTTTTAATCACAGGTAGTAAATACAAGGAGAGAACACAGGCTGGCTCGCCCGAGATAGGTTCCCACACTCCACGTTAATATGAACCAAGTCAGTTTCGAAATTCCCAAATATTAAGGCAAAGTCGGCACATCTCTCGATAAAATTTGTTTTTATTAAAGTCACTCGATTTGAGCTGAGCATTGTAGAGAAAATTGTGATTAATAACACCACTGCGAAACGATACACATTGCAAGGTTTGGATACCTTTATAACTTCACCACACTGGGGAAAAGGTTCAGTGACTGCTTTTTTATTATTCGTCTTTAGAAGAAAACAAGTTGATAATTTAACGCAGGGCAAACAAATCCGAGTGGATTCATTTATTCCCTTATTTTTCAACAAAGATGTAGGGATGCATACAGATATCTTTATCTAACAAATGGAAATTAAAGACATCTGTCTTCTCGCTTAAACTATACACTCGCGACTTTTTTCTTTTTAACACTCAAAATACATGTATGTAGGAAACATTTGTTTTAAAATTTCCTGGCACATTTTTCTTCAAAATAATTTACGTCATTTGTTTTGTCAAACAGTGGGAAATGTCGCACAAAACGCGTGTTTGCAAGACTAGCCAGCTGTAAATTAAATATACTTTGAAAATTAAAAAAAACTAACATCCGCGCTGCTTTGTAAAATCAAACTTTGATACTAAGGTCGTTGATGCCTGACGCACCCATAAATCATGGAAGCCGATGGTTTCTCGTCCCTGACAATCTTTATCCTTGTGCTTCTGTCACTAGTTGCCGTCTTCGCAGTTCTTGGCAATGGGTTCGTTCTTGGTATCGTTGCCCGGTTTAAGAAGCTTCGCACCTTTCCAAACATTCTAATTGCTAATCTGGCGTTGGCCGACCTTATGAACGCGCTAGTCAACATACCTATCTACGTGCTCTGGGGCGTACTGAATGTCAAATGGTTTAGTGGAAAGACTTCAGCGATTATTTCGCTGTTTCTGTCCCACTTGTTTATCCTGGTCAACGTTGTCTGCATGTTGGTGCTGCTGGTAAATGTGTTTCTAGCGATAGCGCTGGACCTGAGATATTTCACATGGAAGACGAATAAAAAAGCCTTAGCAATAGACCTAGCTGTGTGGTTGGTCTGTCTTACCTGCACTGGTTTGTTATCGTGGTCCATCTCTGATATTGATCTTCAAGATCCTTCTGTTTTTAAATATCGTCGTTCCTTTGTTACGGAAGCCAAATTTATTTCCTCAGCCATTGGCGCAACGTTCGTTGTCACTGCAGTGGTATTTGGTGTCCTTGCCTTCTGCTCGATTAAAAGCAAGGTTCGGAAGGTGAGTGGAAGGGTCTTTACCAAGCAAGCTCTAGGCCTACATTTAGCCAAACAAAACTCTTTCGCTTTGAAAGTTATTCTTAATCAAAAAACATAATACAAATACATTTTTTTCTACAAACTAAACTATAGAGTGGTCAATTGAAATTTTGTGTTCAATTTTCAGCATTCTCGCTAGAATTTGAGAGCAGTCATCTAAACCAAAGCTCCCAATTTAAGAACAAAGCGGAGACATTTAAGTCTTTTATTTACCCGTTTTTGACTGTAGCAACACGCTGAGACGCTCTAAAAGTGATTCAACATTTTGGTAACGGATCATGAAAAATTTTTCTCGTTATTTTGGGGGCTAGCGCTATTTTTAAGGCTTCTTTCTCAAAATCTTAGGCCCGAATTTCACAAAGCAGTTTAAAAAGGCTCTCCGTAAGCTTGCAAAGTCTCAGATGAATTATCTTATCACCCCCTTTTACTCGAGCTTCCGTAGGAGCGAGAGTCTTAAAACGCAAACCAAAAGGGGAATCGTGGTCGCAG